TACCATAGTTACTAAAAGTTTAAAAAACAAAATAACAAAAAAATGGATAACACAAGGGGATGTATCAAAGACCAAACTTTAGGTGACCCATCTGGGTATGGTGTTAAAGCATACCGGTTTATTAAATTATTGCATGTTTATTAAATTCCTATTAAAGCATGCTGGTTTCTATAGTCAGCAGAACAGAAGGGAGTGACGTCCAACTGCTTTCGACTCCTCATTCTAAATGACCAGCTACAGATTATTTATTTATTTATTGTAGCTGGGTTGACTGAGGGCAGCTTTAGCATGAATCCAGAGTATGGCCAAAACTCCCATCTGTGAGTCTATAAGAAGATGCTTTAACTGCCCCCTCTACCCAGTAACAGAGCCTATAGCCCACCATTTGTCTGCACCCCAGCTGTGTAAATTAAAGTAGCTCCAATGGAAGAATGCACCAGCTGTTTATTTGCACATGTCTGCCTGCAGCACTATTGATCTTTCTTTCCTTTATGTAGAGTATCTGAGAAGCACTGGAACAGGTTACCTAGAGAGGTGGTAGAATCTCCATCCTTGGAGGATTTTAAGGCTCAGCTCGACAAAGCCCTGGCTGGAATTATTTAGCTGGGGATGGTCCTGTGTTGAGTAGGGGTTGACTAGACCTGCTGAGGTCTCTTCCAACCTTAATTTTCTAATTTTCTATGATTCTAAGGTGTATTTTACAAGATGCATGTTTATTAAATTATTATACAATAATATTTCATAAAGATAATGCTCAGCACTAACAGACATCATGGATTGCCTTGTTTATTTCCATTGACCTATTAACCCACCTTGTTTATTCCTGTTGGGATATACCTTAGCCTCATTTTGCAGTGATTCATCCCCCTATCCTTTTTATTTAAATTCCCTTCTATTTAGAACCCCTGCTTTTTGCAAGTCCATTCATAGCGTAAGCTGTGGCCTATGAAAAGTTATGCCTCTTTGAAGCAATTTGTCTTTAAAGTGCCACTCTGCCCTACCTTCTGCGCCTCACTAAGTTTGATTTTTGATATATTTTATTTCAGATGCAGTCTCTGTTTTCAGATGTTAACCTTTGACATTGGGTTCAGTACTTCCATATATCCCGTAGTTCTCAAGGTAAGTAAGGCAATGACAATTTCATAACTGTGTTTTGCCACAACTAAGTGATCAGGGGGTAGGACCCGGTGCAGCACACAGGAACCGCATGCCGTGCTGGCTTCTGTCAGCATGGGCCAGACCCCAGAGCCAGCTCCTGCCTCTGCCCCCTGTGCCTGTGGCGGGGTGAGGACCTGGCCTAGCCCCATGTGGCTTGCTAGTCTGGCCTTGCACTGGAGCGGGTCACAGGGCTCCAGGAGGTGAAGCTCCTGTGCGCACCTCCTGGAGCCGTGTGACCCACTGTGGTGCAAACCCAGACTAGCAAGCCTCAGGGATCTGGGCTCAGCCCAGCTGGGCTGTAGAGGGGCCCCAGGACCTAGCTGGCCCTGGCACACGGTCCCCGCATGCCACACTGAGTCCTGTCACCATGGACCCAGCCCGACAGGGGGCCCAGGACCTGGCTGGGCCTGGCACCCAGTCCCCTCATGCCTCATCGGGTCCTGCTTCCAAAAGACCAGAATGCCTGGGCGGCAAGAGCAGCCCCAGGGCCGGCAGAACCAGGCTGGGCTCGGCGCGTGTTCCCCTTGCTGCTGTGGTTAAAGGTTAGTTATGGGCCCTGGGCAGGGAGGCTGGGGCCCTGTGGGGGATAGGGGCTGTGGCCCTCCAGGGGGGAGCTGGGACCCTGGGTGTAGGGGGGGAGCATTCCATGTACTGTGGGGGGGGATGCAGCCTGTGGGGGTCAGGGGACCCACCCCTCCTGAGCAGCCCTCACACAAAGTCCCCCGCACCCACAGTGCCCCCAGCAATTGCCCCACTCCTACCCACAGACCAACCCACATCCCTCCATATCCACCCACCCACCTTCCCCCACACCCCTTATCACCCCCTTTCTAAAAACCCCCAAAACCCCCATCACACACCCATCATGTATGAAGAAAACCAACAGCACAGATCAACACATATAGGAATTTAGAATTTATTTTTTCA